CACCTTCTCACTCCCTCTCCCACACTCCTACACCCTCTTGACACACTCCCACACCACGTCACAAACTCCCACACCAACTCACACACTCCCACATCCTCGCACACTCTCCCAAGCCACATCACACTCTCCCACACCATCTCCACACAATCACACGCTCCCACACCACCTGCCACACCCTCTAACACACACTCACACCCTCCCACAAAACTCGCACGCCCACTCACACACTCCCACACCATCTCAGCCTCTCCCACACCATCTCCCGCTCGCCCACATCCACTCCCACACCCTCTCACGCTCCCTCTCGCCCTCCAACGCCCTCTCACACTCTCCCACACCCTGTCACACTCTCCCACACCATCTCACACACCCTCTCAGACTCCATCACCCTCTCCCTCTCATCCTCCCACACCCTCCACCACTCACCCGCCATCCCCCACACCCTCTCACGCCATCACACACCATCTCACGCTCACTCCTCCACTCCCACACCCTCTCACACTCGAACACCCCACGCCATCTCCCCCACCTTTCCTCTCTCCTTCCTTTTCCTTCTCTTTTCTTTTCCTCCTTTCTTTCCCTTCCTTTTTCCCTTCTTTTTTCCCCTCTTTTCTTCCCTTCTCTTTTTCTCTTCTTTCTTTTTCTTCCCTTTTCTTTCCCTCCTTTCCACCCTTTTTTCCCCTCTTTTCTTCCCCTCTTTTTTTCCCTTCCTTTCTTTCCCTTCTTTCTTTCCCTTCTTTTTTTCCCTCCTCTTTTTCCCTTCTCTTTTTCCCTCCTTTTTTATCCCTCTTTTTTTCCCTTCTTTTTTTCCCTCTCCTTTTTCCTTCTCTTTTTTCCTTCCCTTTCTTTCCCTTATTTTTTTTTCCCTTCTCGTTTCTTTTTTCCTCCTTCTTCTCTTTCTTCTTTCTTCTCCCTCCTTCCACCCCTACTCACCCTCTCCCCCTTCCAACTTCTCATTCCCCCCTTTCCGCACCCATCTCCACCGCCCTACCAACGCGCCAAAGTACCCGAAAAAAAAAGAAACCGCGCCCGTCCGACCCTTCCCTTCCTCGTCTCTCCCCACTGGCCTCTGCGATCCCCGCTTTCGTCTCACGTTCTCCCGCGTGTACCCCGTCGCAGTCACTGACGTCGATACGGACGAAAAAGAAAAAAAAAAAAAAAAAGTAGTACCGAGGGACACCGCGTGACCAGACACCCTCCCTGAGCCTCTCGTGTCGATCTTTTCTTCCCTGGTCTTCGTATCGTTGGTTTTAAACGCGCTCGTTTCTACCGTTATCTCTCGTGTCACTCTCTCTCTCTCTCTCTCTCTCTCTCTTCGCGATACGGTTTCCGGAATGTAGGGATTCTCGTGTCCTTCGTACGGCTAGTGACCGTCGAATTGAGCCTGCTGTGTACACGTGTTCGTTTCCCCTGGGATACGAGATTCCGAACGAGTAGTGAGTCTACGTGTTACGTGTGTTGCACCCGTCCGATCGTGATCGGAGAGTAAATTCTCCGTACGAATGTAGTACGAGACGTGAATCGATGTCGTGTACGTTTCCGTTCGTGTTTACTTTCGTTTCGAGTGAATTTTCGTGGTGCGACTGTGCGATACACGGGAACGCGGACTTTCGATTTTCGACCTGTTCCCGCCGTTTTTCCCTTCCTTTTCGCACGTGCCGTTCAACGGCGCTGCGAACCGTGCCGACCGAGACCTACCTTGAGTGTCACCCCTCTGCTCTGCTCTGTCTCTGATGACTCTCTGGTCGCGAGACGCGACGGCCCCGAGGCTGCGCGAACCGAGAGTGGAGACTGCGACGACGCTCGCGCGGCCACGTCGCCGTTCTCTACCACCGAGTTCCGAGTACCTGCCACCGGTCACGGTCGCTGCGCTCCGACGCGTCTGCTGTACCGATGCGTGTTCGTGCCGGACGGTCGAACGAATCCGATAGGCTTGAACGACGTCTTGGTCGCGCTTCGTGTTCCGTGATCCGACTGCTGGTGTCGGACCGAGAATCATGTGAATCATCCTGTTTTGTGCGCGTACGTGATTGTCCAGAGCTTGTGTCGCGATCGCTCGCGATATTTCTCCACGACTGTGAACTGTGCCCGACCCTCGTACCGTGCTACGCTCGTTTGCGTTGTGCGTCTAGTGCGTGGTGCGTACTTCCGCGCGTTTTTCTCTCCGATCGAACGACCGTTGTCGTTCCCGTTTAATTTCTGCTCCTCGTCCTCGTCGTCTTGGTCGTCGTCCCGTCGACGTTGCGGTTCTCGACGATTCTTTTTCTCGTCGCTTTCCCGTTCCGTACGGCCGTCGTGCTTCGAAGTCACGGTTCCACGATGCCGAGATTCGTCTTCTTCCTCTGCTTGGTCGCCGCTGTTCTCGCCCTGGGTAAATATGCTTCGTCCGTTCCAGCCTTTCTTCCCCCCGGATCTGACCGACTACGTTTCTCGTTCGTCTGTCCTGACCCTCGCGCGTCCACTTCGATGCGACTTCTTTTTTTCGCTCGTGTCGCCTCCTCGTACGTTCGTTGGCTGCTTCGTTCTTTCGCGTTTTGATCGCGGCGGGCTCACTGTGTTCGTCTTGTTCCGTTGTCGTTCTACTCCGTGCGCGTTTACCGAAGAGTCTCCTGGCCTGGCTTTCGTCGCGGTGTCGCTCGTTTTTCTCCGAACGCGTTTTCCCAACGGACGGATGAAACGTGAACGACGCTCCTCGCGGGCAATGGTCGCGCGAGTGTTCGCGGTGTTCGTCGGATCGGTCTCGGGTGATGATCGGGATCGGGAGCGATTTCGATCGTCGTTTTTCGTGCCTTTGTTTTACGTTTTCTTCTCCTGATTTGTCCACGATTGCGGAACAGGTGAGGGTCGAGACGAGCCACTTTTGTCCGCCACCGATGTGGGATCTCTTCCTGTGGTGGATGCGGCGGCGACGACCACGACGTTCCGACCTGACTCAGAGCGAGATGTACCAGCCAGCACCGTCTCCGACCGGATTGGCGTTGTCGCTACCGAGAAACCCCCGATCACGGTTTCCCCGGACGAACCAGTCCCGGTCACGCGGGAGGAGACTGCGGTCGGTCCGACTTCCGCTTCGACTCGCGTTTCCCGCCGACCTGCTCTCCCGTCCCGGAATGTTACTGCTACCACCGTTCGGACTCCTCTGACTGAATCGTCTGTCACTGCTGCTGTTGCTGCTGCCGAGGATGCGTCTCTTGCGCCCGTTCGACGAACAGACGTGCGTGCTCCCCTGAGCTCTGCCAGCTCTGCGAGTTTCGTCTCCCATGGCCCTGGTAAATGGGTGGTCAATGTGACGAACCGTGTCTGTGTCGTGGTACAGATGGCTGTGACCGTTCACGTTTCTTACACCGACGTTGACGACAAGGTTTGTATCGTTGCTGTGCGTGGTCGCTTACAGTTGTGACTTGGACGATGGTACTTTATGGTCTCCTGACGAATCGACGTTTTTCAGACGTCCTCTCGAACGTTCGAGATACCGGCTGATAATACGACCAGAGCCAGTGGATTCTGTGGCGAGTCGGAACAGAATTTGACGTTGGAATGGCCTGCTACCAATCTGACAGCCACCGATGCCAACCTGACCCTGCACTTTGTCAAGAATCAGACTGCGAACGACTACTCTCTCCGTCGTTTGGACGTTTCTTTGCCAGCGGCGGCGGTCAATTTCCCGAATTCGACGCTGAGTGAGTAGTCCAGCAGTTTCGTTGCGTCCGTTTGTTCTCCTCGGATCCAATTTCTGTTATCGTTTTGTGTCGTTTCCTTGTTCTCGCCGTCGTCGATTCACGACGCGACGTAGATGAAACGATCGTTCTGGTCTACGATGCGCCGTCGTCGTCTGACTACGTGATTGGATTGACCGAGTCCTACAGATGCCTCAAACGACAAACGCTCTGGCTGAAACGAAGAATCGGTCGTGGCCTCGATGACGTGGTGGTGAACGACCGAACGTCTGGCTACTTGACCGTGTCAGACCTACAATTCCAGGCGTTCAAATCTGACAATTCGACCGTTTTTGGTTTGGGTAAGCGCGACGCGACGATTCGTTCGTCGAATGAGTACTTGTTCTTATAGCTTTCGTTCATTCTTGTTCTTCTTCCTTTTCAGCTCGAGATTGCGCGTTTGACACACCGGACGCTGTACCGATAGCTGTAGGCTGTGCATTGGCAGCGTTGGTAGTCATAGTGTTGGTCGCGTATTTGATTGGACGCCGACGAAATCAGTTTCATGGCTACCTTAGCATGTAACTTACCGTGATACGTTTCTTCGTTACCTTTGATTTTCTTCCTTTGTTCAGTGATTGGTATTCAGAGTGGATGATGTCCTTTCGTTCAGCGTTCTGTCGTATCTGCTGGTATCCTGTGTTTTCGTCGATTGTCTGCGAAACCTGGTTTGGCCACGTGTATTTTCCACGCTTCCAACGGCCACGTTGTTTGTCGATATCGCGCGCGTACGATGGAAGTGTATCTTTAAAAAATTTGTTATTTCTTTGATCGAATAAAGTGATACGATGCGTGATATGAAGTATATATCGTATGAATTACCGTTTGAAACGCATGTATAAAATATATTGTTATTATTTTTTAGTATCGCTGCTCTTAGAACGTTGCTATCTCGAATCGATTATAGTTGACGAATAAAACAAATTACTTTTGAGACTGCATTTCTCTCTCTCTCTCTCTCTCTCTCTCTGTGTGTGTGTGTGTGTGTGTGTGTGTGTTGACCCGAACAGTTCTCGATCCGAGTTGGATCGGGGATCCGGGAAGAAATTGTCTTAGTTCGAGGATGATCGACGTGCTCGTTTCGTCGTCGTTCGTTCCTCGAGATGACGATTTCTCTTACTCGGAAAGAGTTTCGAACGTTCGCACACGTGTAATACGTATACGTGTGTTTCGAAGCGATCGAGCGTCGTGGACGTGTGAGAATAGACCGCGCTGGTGGTGACCGAGTCTGTGTTTCTGTGGAAGCGATGGAAGAAGACGAGCTACTGCCCTCTTCACTTTCGCTTTCTTCTCGGTTGTTGTCGTAACGGCGATATAATTTTCGAATAGGATCTCGACTATCGGAGGGGATCCGCCGATGCGGGATCGTCTCGCGGGACGGTTTCTCGTCCGATTCTTCCGAACGGTATCCTCTCGCGAACGATGAGAAATTGAAAGAATGAATTTCAGTCGTTTCTGGCCAGCAGCAGTCGTGTGAACTGGATCGAATAGGAATTTGGATTTTTACTATCGTTGTCGGTGGCTCTCTTCGACGAACTCGATCGTGCGTTGCTGGAAACGTTTGAATTGTATGCGAAATGGAACGAGACGACTTGTCCTGGACCTGTGCGGCGGCGCGTGTATCGAACCACTGGTATCGCCGGCATCGCCGCTCGCCGCCAGCTATTGTGTCCTTTGCGCGGCCGGCGGGCGAACGTGAATTGTATTCCGTTCCGTTCGTCCGAGGGCGGCGTGTGTTTCCTACCTACGTTTTTTTTTGACAAGAGACGACGTGACATAACCTAACCTATGGACCTGGCGCGGTTGAAAATAGTTCTACGCGTTGATACGTCCCCACTGCTTGATAAATAATAAATGAATACGGTTAGCGGCAGTAGGTTGCTACGGAAAATTTACATTGCGAGGCTTGACATCTTCTTGAATCTTTTTCCGCGTTGTAAATCTCAGGTACGATAAGATAAGTTTTTTCCTGCTCCCCGTTCGTCTGCGTCGAGCGAGCTAGTATACGTGTGGCGTATCGTCTAGCAGAGAAAGGTTATTATTCATTTTTTGTTTGATCGTGCGTGATGAAATTGTTTGTCAAAATTGTTTCTCGAGAAGCAGCTATACTGAAGCAAGTACTGTGTTCTGTATTGTTCGATTTTCAAACGAGAGTCACCATGGTGTGCACGCGATATTGTAAATTTACGAGTACTTATGAATGTTCATTTTTATTTCGGTTACGATGACATGCGCCGCGACTCGGATATCCGATTTTTACGCATGTGTACGATTTCTCAGGTATCAGATCGGTATCGATGTACCGATCTTGTACTGCTGCCAGACCGAGTCTGGTTTGTTTGTTATAACGCGGTCTGCTGCTGCTGCTGCTGCTGCTCGATTATACTACGTGTATACATTTATACGTATTGTTACGTTCGAAAGAATCGATGTTGGCACCTGTTTTGAGAGTTCAGAAGAATCAGTACGTGAAATGAAATGATCGGTCTGTTAATAATTAGTTGTGATTCTGTTCCATAATTCTACGTACACGTGATATATACGCGACGTGAGCGAGACTGATGGAGAGAGAGAGAGCGAACGTAATTAAATTCGTGTGTTTGTTGAGAGAGGAAGAATAGAGATCTCGAGAGTTGATCGCGAGAAGCCTGTGTACACGAGCCTGTTTAATTTTATGTTTGCAGCCTTTTTGCTATGACATCGTGCCACTTTTATCTTCTGCATGTATGTCCGGACTAGCGGTAAAGCAAATATTTCTGAGAAATTTCTGTGTGAAAAACGTCTTGTTGGTATCCGAAAAATTGATATTGACCCGCTGTAATTTAATGGCAATGATGGCGAATCCCACGGCACCGCAAAAGTTGAATCAACCGATGACTACGACGTCGATGGATCGCTACGCCGAAGTCTATTACAATCCGAGCAGCAGCAGCAGCAGCAGCAGTAACTATGGTATTCCGTTTCAAATAACGGGAAATATCCAGGAACCGTGCGAGAGTAATGTGCAGTCGTCGTCGTCGTCGTCGTGGCCGTCGTCGGTTTACCATCAGGTGAATACGTGCGTCGTCGAACCTGCGATGTTCGCTGCTGTTCACGACCGTGAAACATTGATCGATAAACAGAGATATAAGGCAATGAGACAGTGGGAAACTGTTGTTAAAACAGGTAAGAGAACTGCTGCACGTTCTGGTTCCGATGGTTCGCTTCGAACCGACGCCGACGCGAGAGGAGTGTTCTCGTCGTCTGGTATCGATTTATCGCAGATTATTTTTTTCACCAGAGAAGCTGACCACCTTCAATTCCGATGAGCAGCACTTTGTTGTGAGAATACTGTCTTTTAACATTTTGGCGCAGTGTCTGCTGGAAACGTTTTCATATCTGTACAAAGGACACGACCAGCGTGCGCTGTCTTGGGAAAATAGGAGGCAGCTTCTCTTGCAAGAGATTTTAGAAGCGCGAGCTAACGTTAGTTCTCAGTTTCAATTATTTTTACCGTTCTACACACGTATACGTACTTTTTTGTTGTTGTTGTTGTTGTTGTTCTTCTTCTTCTTCTTCTTCTTCTTCTTCTGTTCGGATTAGCCAAATTAATGATGTTGCGTTTAATGATGTTTGATTGAATTCGAGCTCTCTTTATTTGCTCTCTCATTCTGCTTGTCCGTGCGCAGGTGATTTGTCTCCAAGAGATGCAAGAGGATCATCTGCCAGAATTTTTACGTACGTTCGAGCAATGGGGCTACAGCTATCTCTACAAGAAGCGAACGAACGACAAGAAAGATGGTTTATTATTTTTGTATCGTTCCGACCAGTTGATTTTAATCGATCACGTGAAAGTTGAACTCTATCAATCGGGCATAGAATTATTGATGAGGGACAATGTTGGAATAGTGGCAAAGTTAGCAGTTAAAGACAATCCTCAAACGCAATTGGTGATTGCTACGACTCATCTACTTTATAATCCTAGACGAAACGATGTAAGATTGGGACAAACGCAACTTCTTTTAGCGGAAATTGAGAGATTCGCTTTTCTCAGGCAGACGATGTGAGTATAATTTGATCGAGAACCCGCCGGTTTTCGAGCGAATCGACTCGATCGTCGCGGTACGATCGGCCATAATTCCGGTTTCAATTGTTGTTCACGTTTCACGTCATGTGCGAGCGATTTGGTTCGAACGATTCGGTTCACGCCATGATCGTTCGTTCGTTCGTTCGTTCGTTCGTTCGTTCGTTTGTGGTTTGTTTGTTTCTTATTCTGTGTCTACACGATAGGACGGGTCCCAAGTATCTTCCAATTATACTGACGGGCGACTTCAATTTGAGGCCCCATTCTGGAGTGTACAAATTTATCGTGAATGGAAGATTTCGATACCAAGGGAAAGCAAAAACGCTCGAACATACGGAGAGTAAGAAACTATCGAATTTTCTCGTGCCTCCTCGACTTCGTATTACCGACAATTGTCAACACTTTAATGTCCTGAAGTACAGATTACTTAAGGAAGGAACGAACAGAGTGATGGTACGTCTCGTACTACGTCTACCACACGGTTGAACTTTCGCGACGTTCACGGTCAAAGCTGCGGCCGATTGTATAATGTCTAATGTGATGTGGAATACGTGTATTCTACGCGTTCTGGTTACAGTTGGAGAATAGCGAATTCGTTGCTGCTGTATCGGAAGCAGATCTTGCAGCAGCCAGCAACGCGTCTTGGTACTGCGAAGGGAACCCGGCAGCGGCGACGGCGGAAAATACCGACACCGATACCGTTCTGCAAACGATAGAAATTAAGGACGGTCATCGCGTGACTTTTTGCTCCGGCACTTTGACACATCCGTTTCGCTTCGACAGCGTGTACAAACATCAAAATCGTTACGGCGAGAAAGAAGCTACCACGAATCAGGGAAAATGGATTACTGTAGATTATATTTTTTATAGCGGCGACTTAGAACTTCTTGATAAATACACTTTACCTACGCGTAGAGAATGCAACATTTTGCCTACGATACCTAATTTCGCAGTCGGTAGCGATCATCTTTGTTTAGGTGCAACTTTCAAATTACCTAAGAGTAAGCTCTAAGAGTGTCTCGATCGCTACTCGACAATTACGATTTATTACGATGTCGTTGTTGTTCTCGTAAAGAATTCGATCTTGGCTCCGACGTAGATAGCAATTTTTTACGAATGACTAGAGATACTTTCGGAAGAAGAAAACGTACACACACAAAACGACCAATGAACCGATATTATTTTATTTACCAAGAAGAATAACAAAAAACGGAAAGAAGTATTTTCTTTGTTTTTATGGGGGTGTACGCGAGAAAAATTGTAGTTCTTAGCGATTTGTAACGTAGCGTGTATGGTACCGCCACCACGACATATAGATTAAAATTTTTATTCAGGACGCAAAATCGAAATTGAATGCAAATTTCTGTTCTTCAAGTTTGATCGTTGTTTTTATTTCCCCCTTGTGTATGATTCATGATCATTTCGTAGTTCCGTGATCCGCTTGACCATCGTCGTCGTCGTGGTCGTCGTCGTCGTCGATGTGCCGAGTGTTCTCTACGCTCTAGACACGTAGTACAGGTCTGAATACACGATATACGCCAATGTGAAGACTAGTCTTCGTGTACTCGACCTCGACCTACCCGTCCGCATGACGCGCGAAGGTCGCGAAGGTGAGCAAGGTGAGGTGAGATCGAGATGACGATGACTACATGACGGACATGACCAACTTCACCGATATACTGGAGATACTGTGGTAGAGGTTTTTGGCGTTCGTTCCGCAGGTATGCTCCCAGCGCTCCCAACCAACTCCCAGACTCCCAGCTCGTGACGTGACGGCGATGTAGGCGCGGTTGCGGCTGCGGGGCAAAGTGCTTGTTTATGATGACCGCTATCTATAGGCTAGAAAATAAAATATTACCCGATTTGTGATTTTTAAAACCACGCGTAATCGCGTTCGCGTCTCGTCGTGCGGTGAATAAAAGAATCATGTCTGCGAGCGTATCGCATACGGAGAAAGAATTAGATTTGAGTAATGCTGGCAGAGGTGTCTGGCTCGTGAAAGTGCCGAAATACATAGCAAATAAATGGGAGAAAGCACCCGGAAATATTGAAGTCGGAAAATTGAAAATAACCAAGTAGGTTTTCACTGTGTGTATTCGCGATCCCGTGTTGTGTATCCCGTTTTGCAGAGAGATGCGATTAAATCATTGATTTTGACTGACGTTAGAAACCCTGGTCAAAAGGCAGAAGTATCTCTCAGGCTGTCAGAAGCTGTTTTAGCGTTGAAAGAACCTGAAGAAGAAGAGATTCCAAAACAGCACAGATTAGACGTAACGACAGTAACGAAACAAATGTTGGGAGTCTTTTCTCATGTTACACGTAAGCAGCGTTCAGAATTGATTTCTTCCTTCTCCGAAGAGAAAAGAAAGAATTTCGATAAATTTTCCTTCGTATATAACGATAACCGTGTACTTTCTGTATTGTGTCTCGTTCAGCTTCTAGTAGTTCGGATTCGATAGTTCCTGAAACTGAGAAACTTTATATGGAAGGAAGAATTGTACAAAAGTTGGAATGTAGGCCTTATGGTAAGTACGCAACCGTATTCACCATAGATAGATACTATGCATACGACTGCGACTCTGTTCTATGGTTTGTGTGTAAGTTGCGATAGATTTGTGTACTATTTTCATCTGTTACATTCGTCTGTTTTAGCTGATAATTGTTATATGAAATTGAAACTGCAAAGCATTAAAAGAGCCTCCGTGCCGCAGAGGCAAGTTCAACAATTGGACAGGGTGGTGCAAAATTTCAAACCTGTATCCGATCATAAACACAATGTAAGTCTGATTTGTGCAAATAATTAATGGGACACGTTCGCGCACACAGTCATTTGCATTCGTTGATTTCGTTCGATTTATTGCGCGACATATATATGTGTATATGTATCAATTTCTCTGTCTTCCTCTCCCTCTCGTTTAGATTGAATATGCGGAAAAGAAGAAGGCAGAGGGTAAAAAGATGAGGGATGACAAGGATGCAGTGTTGGATATGTTGTTTGCTGCGTTCGAGAAACATCAGTATTATAATATTAGAGATCTAGTGAAAATTACTAGGCAACCTATCGTAAGTATGTCGTTTATAGTTCGATTGACGCTGTTGCCGGTGGCGTATCCGTGACTCTTTCTCCTTACTATCTGCGGACCTGACTGAATTTTTATTCATCGTTCCCCGTCGTGTAGGTGTATTTAAAGGAAATATTGAATGAAGTTTGTAATTATAATCTTAAAAATCCTCATCGTAATATGTGGGAATTGAAACCTGAATATCGACATTACAAGGAGGAAGAAAAGCCCGAATCTACTCAGAAAAAAGCTGACGAATCTGACGATGATTAGCCAAATTCACACTAGATTTGTGCGTGTACATACACATTTTTTTATTGGTTTGTATAAAGGGATCGCAATTAAATGATTGTTTTCTTTGTCTACATTCTTCATTTCATGCGTACAACTGGTCGATTCTTTGTGTGTGTGTGTGTGCGCGCGCGCGTGTGCGTTCAGTAATCCTTTTATTGTAAAACGAGAGGACTGTAAATTTATAAGCGATGTAATTCACACCAAAAATACATTCTTCATACAGAATACATAATTTATTAAGGAAACTACATATTTTTTTGATGGACCTGCGTAAAAGACGACATACTGGTATAGTAAATGCACACGCGTTTGTATGTTATTCTAAAAATAAATTATTTCCTTGATATGATCGAGTCTTGATCGAGATCGTAAGATATGAGAGAATGTTATTGTCAGCTTAGGAATGAGACGCGCGCGCGCGTTAATAACGTTTACGCGATTGTGGAATGGACATGGCACGAGCGAAGATTAAAAATCGAAAGACAAGTTTAAGGCCGGTATTTAGTGTCGTTGCTTGTTCTTAAGATCGCCGTAAGCATTTGCTCGAGTTCCTGTTTTCTGTACAAGACAGAAATATGGGATAGACAGGGATAGGAAATACTTAAGACGATCTTAAATATAAGCAACGACTCTGAATACAGAACGAGCAAAAAGTTATATAAGTTGCGATGCGCGCAACGTTGTGCGTACAGTAATTCACCGTCCATTTCAGTGACCAGTTATTTGATTATCATTGGGCGGTATAATTCCCTGGGTCTTGAGTAAATGCTTAAGACGATCTTAAAAGTAAGTAACGACTATGAATACCGCCCATTATCATTGACCGTCGTTGTCACTTCCCCTCCCCCATGTTGATCCCAGCTCTCTGACGTTGCCGCGTCTCTAACTGTTGTTCACGTGCTTCAAACATTCACGAACGCTTGAAACATTATCATTGGGTGACATCCACATAAAACTGTCATGTGAATTTCTTCGTCCGCCGGAATGAATGTAACAGTACCACGGTACAGAACTGTCTTCGACGGGCCGATTTCGCCTTTTCCACTTATGATAATTAAAATACTAGCGGTACTTCTGGGAATTATATTGTACGACGGTTTTCCAGCAGGTATCTGAAATCAATCGATTTTCATTCTTCAATGAGGTGACCACGGTCGTTGTCAGTGATAGTGCGCGCGCGCACGATGCGAATGAACTTGCTCTCTTGTTACTCTTACTGTAATTTTGGCGACAGCAAAATCTGGCACGGGAGGACGAAACACTTCTGTATATTCGTCTTCGCGACAAGGTTCGAATCTTTTTGCGGAAACCGGTTCGCAAATGTACGTTAACATATCTACTAACGTTGGTACATCTTTTAATTTGGGAGTTAATCCTGCGCGTACTACGTTATCCGAGCATGCCATACATTCGATACAATCTATAAACATATTTCGTCCCCATTCATTCAGTTAGCTTGCGAATGATTAAAAGATGATGGTGAGGTAATTGTAGGCTGACGCGACGGTAGTAGTAGTAATAACGCTCTCTCACCCCCGGAAAGATATGCATGTGGCTCGTTTGGTCCGAGGTATATAGCCTCACCAGGCTGCATCATTATAAAATTAAAAAAATAAATGCCAAAACATCCTACGTCGCCCGGATAATCGCGGTACAGTCTTTCTAATAGATCAGCGTGTAAGGATTTCCTCGTTGATTCATCTACAATAACATTTTTAGTACTGTTGTTGTTGCTATTATTGCCCATCGAGACGTTTGTTGTTAACGACTCAGCTGTTGAATGACGACGTTTTAATTATCTCGCTCACCTAAATTGGTCAGTCTGTCGAGCAACTTTCTAAGTTGGAATGCCACTAAACTAGGATCACAGGTCATTAGACTATGAAAGCACGTTTTCAGACTATTATCCTCGTCGTGTTTTGGATCTGCTCCGTCGTCTTTAGCAGTTACAATAAATTTCTCTACTTTCTCTTCTCCAATTGTTGCACGTAATTCTGGGAGGGCCTTCAGAAACTCTTGGATCTCTTTGATCGGACGGAACCCACAGAGAGCTTCGAAAGGTGTTAAAGCTATCGCAAGTTCAGGCTTGTGATTTGCATCCTTGTAGATGCCAGGATACTGTTGATGAAGTTCTCTTGCTTTTTCCTACACTTTCAAATGTCACAAACAATTTGAACTGATCGTGTTACTGCGTCCAGTTTCATTCAGCAGTCGGTAACCAGACCGCGTTACACCTCGCGATACACGTACCTTGTTTGGATGTGCTTGGATCGACAATGCTTTGTTCACGGACAAAACTTTAAAAAGAAATGGCAAGTGCTGCCCGAACATCTGTTCGACGTTCTCTCCCAGTACTTCACTGTTTTCTTTTATATATTCTTCCAAAGATATATTTAATCTCTTGACGTACGAAGGGCCGTTGGGATGTGTTCCCATCCATAACTCGGCATATGGTTTCTCTACGTCTAATGTAAAGTCTAAATTCGAAAATTTCATTAATGTTGCAACAGTGCTGTTGATGCCACGTTTTCCCCAATCGTAAGTCTGTACTTTACACTCGAGTTCCATATTGTCGATAATTATTCAAAATTCTGGAACATGAAGCAAAGTTGCTGCTGACTATATCGTGTATTACCAGTGTCACAGATGATTTACATGAAAATACTTTGAATGCCTTGATTGACTCTCATCTGATTGAACGTGAAATAGAGACAAAGTTCATCGCTCTTCGATCTACGTTCACTTAATAACATAGTCACGTACGTTTTTTCATTTAAGAATATACTTTTATTGTCCAGCAGCACATTTTTTACATACACAAAACATATGTTCGCAACTTTTTATCAGTATACTACTTACTTACCGGAATCACGTGAAACAGGCGAACGAGGGCCTCGTTCCGAGTATATGCATCAGTCACGTTTGACACCATTCGTGCGCGAATAAACAAGCTCCACGTAAATCCGATCCGATTTTGATGCCTGCTATCAAGCTAAGGGCTACGTGTATGTATAGTAAACGTTATCAGTAGACAACCGGTTCCGAACGCTATAGTACGTCACGTGGAACTAGTGACAGTACGTCATAGTAGCTTGTAGTGCGCATGGGTAACAGATCCGACAACGTGCCGCCGTCACCAATCACCTTAGAGCATAATATGCTCTAAGCCAATCACTGTGCTGGGTGAATGGGTGAAGCCGACCGAAGCCGACCAGCCGACTGTCGTCTCTCGTTCGATCTTTTTCGCTCTTTGGTCGTGTTCCACGGTGGCGATACTGGCGATACGTGTGCTAGTTAACAGCAGGTAGTGCAAACGTTTTCAATATTTCTGTATAAACAGTTACGTAGGAGCGATTTCGACAAATGTTTTCAACTCTTCGTTAAAATGTTTGTTTCAGCATCGAGCAATAAAAATGGTGGCGCAAAAGAAACAGGTACAGAATACCTTTCTTAATTATACGCACGTGTTCACATAACCTCATAAAATAGAGAAAATTGTTTGCTTCCTCACTTAACGATACGACGAGTTTATTTATTCGATGTCTTTCTCTCTGTTTCTCTGTTATCCATAGAAAAAATCCCAGGAAGGTATCAACTCCAGGTTGGCCCTTGTCATGAAGTCGGGAAAATACGTGTTAGGTTATAAGCAGACCCTCAAGTCCCTCCGGCAAGGAAAAGCGAAATTGGTTATCATTGCCAATAACACTCCTCCTCTAAGGTGAGACTGAGATGTAGTACTCCTTCGTCGATGTCACAAAGTAATATGAACGTAAATAAATTGTGTTCGCATAACTTTGAGGCAAACATAAAAGATTAACTGTATGTTTCATATTGATTTGTATACACTTTTAATGGGAGTTCTACGGAGTAGTCTCGATTCTCTCTCTGTTTGTAAGTGCAGAGACAAGTGTTTGCGCATTCAACAGATATAAATTACAAATATCTACTTTTGTCTGTCTTGAACAGGAAATCTGAGATAGAGTATTACGCTATGTTGGCAAAAACTGGCGTACATCACTATGTTGGAAATAACATAGAATTGGGCACTGCGTGCGGTAAATATTTCCGTGTCTGTACCCTCTCCATTACAGATCCTGGGAATTCTGATATTATTAAATCTATGCCTACTGGTGAACAAGCATAAGCATATATTTCCGATTTAATAAAATTTTCATAAAAACAAACATCGGGTCTTGTGTACTTCCGGATTTCCTTTTCTCCTCCATTCTTTGATTTAGATCAGCTGATATTAACACCTGAAATTACCACTATACCACAATCTTCTCTTACACTATACTTCTCAGCCATATGACTTAGAAAGAGCGTACGATATATCTTACATCTACGTCTAGATTCGGAATGTTCATAAGAAATCATAAAACTTTCGTGTCATATTTTCTTTTTGAAAAAACAATTTATTATTAACAATTATTAGAAAACTGTACAGGGCTTTTTTGTGCTTCATCCTTCTGACCTTACACGCTAACTAATTCTTAAGTACTCGCAAATTTATTTAGGATAAAACTACGATATAGTATTATACTCAGAGTGTAAAGAAACATACAGTAATGTCGTCTCGTGTCAGTGTTACATACACTTGCTGTATCTGGATCTGGCACCATACATTATCTTTTATGTTTAATGTAATTTTGGTTTCCAAGTATGATACGAACAATGTATAATTATTTGCAAGGTAATAAAACTTACTTCTTTCACATATACATACGTACGTATCATTAATCAATTCGTCGATTGACAGGTTTATATTAGATACGAATTAACACGCACAACTGATGTTATCAAATGATATTACAGCTCTAAATACTGTATAATGTGAAATACTAGAAATGGAGAAATGAGAATAAAGTTGTTTTGTCCGTACAGATTAGAAAGACAAATAATTTTACTATCATATATTTCGAAGATATTTCAAGGCACTTGTGTCCGGAAGATGAATACTTTTTATCGTTTACAGTCGCGATAACGTAGTGAGTACTCTACAGATTCCGCGTTCTGTAAGATCGCACTCGATCTGTCGATCACTTCTAAAACCTATGATTTCGATTCGATAGACCGACAGTGCGTCGCGTGTAATACTCGAAATCAGTTGACAGTCAACACAGACCGATTGATCGGTCTTTATTTTCTGTTGTTATCATGTTTCGTGAGAGAAACATTCTTCTTTTTCAGAAAACTCACATCGTGTCCAATATACATATACGAATACGCAAAATAAAGTGCCTCTGTCGTTAACGTGTTTCGTAACGATCCACGGCGTACAACGACGTAAGGAATAAATAGGCAGTGTACAGAGAGAGTTTCATGAGACAATATTGCATTAAACTTAAAACATTATGTATAAACATATTTTACATGTCTCGTGTATATTACATTACGTGCAGCGTGCAGCATCGTATCTCGCAAGATCCGTCGTCGAATTCAATCATTAAACACGACTTACACGAGATGCGAAGTCGCCGAACAGAACGCATCTTATGGTGGTGGTGATACGTGTCGCGCGGGAAAGAGAGTTCAAAACTCACTACGGTGGTGAAGCGAAATGTTTCAAACAATTTTACGCGTAACACAGTATGTACAATACTTCGACCGGAATGGTTGTTGCAACGGCGGCGAAAGAAGATTTGAAACGACAAAGCGTAACAGTTCGTTCGTGCACAGCTCCGTGGGCGATGATCATTCGCATTGCCACACACCAGCTTTGGCACAGTTCTTTTTTCTCGCGTATAGTTACACTTCGAATCACGCACACACGCACGCAACCCCCCCCCCCCACACACACATACATACATACGGTAAAACAGCCCGTTTGAATGCCCCGTTTAACTTTCATTCATCGATGATCATCTATCCTATCGTCTCACGCGATCTTCATTGACAGCTGATTCCGGTGCCGTTTTGCTCTACGTCGCGGTAATAATCTTAACGACGATTGTGGTCATCAGACTGAGTGGAAGGTACCATGATACCGATGACGATAGTTTGAAAATGCTGCCCGCCGCAGAATCCGCATCCTGGTTAGAAGACGTGACTAGCTGCTCGTCCGTCTCGCCTGTCGAATTTCATGAAAACATCGTTGGAGGGAGGAATATACGCGAGTTAAGAAGATCGTCGCTGATCGGATGGGTCACTTCATCGAGCACGTTTAAGCACAGTTTTGCGCGTGAAATTGACAACGGTAAACGCTGCGAAACGTGTCTGATCGCGAACGTGTACCGTCGTCCTGTTTTCGCTGCGTCGTCGTTGTTGTTGTTTGGAACTTATTCGTTTACGTCCGCGGGCCGGGTTTTTGCTCGCGGTATGTTGCCCCTCTCGTGTATGTACTCACTGTGTCTCACCACTACGATACCGAGCTTACAACTTTACGATCACCACCTTGGTACGTTTCCCCTTGGTACGTTTGTTGTTGTCCTAATTCCATTGCCTTCTAACCCGAGTTTTCGTACGACTCAACGAGAGACTTCCCTCGAACGAACGAGTTTTTCATTCTCGCCCGTTCACTTTTTACCGAACCCACGCGATTCGGAGTGCAGATTGTTGTCCTCTGGAAAAGTGAGTTTTTTACGGGTTAATGGTGCTGCGATTGCTCGACATCGCGTGTAGAACGCAATTCCCCGTTGAAATGCAACTTCCCAAACGGAGTCGTACTCATTACAGCAAAGTACGTACAAACGAGAGATTGTCGATTTTTAACATTTTTTTTTTTTTTGCTTCGTCAAATAACGCGTTGTCTTGTCGCGTTGGTCGACATGTGCCATTTGAGAGAACTGATAGAACATGCCCTGTACATACCACATGATTCCTCGTGAAACGAAAAATGACCGATAACAGTAACCAAAAAGTACAATATTCGTGCAAATAAATTATAGTACCAAGTGAGAGCAATGAACAAAAGTACACACGTGCATTCGGAAGTGTGTGTGTGTGTGTGTGTGTGTGTGGGTGGGTGCATGCGTGCGTATTTTTCGCACAATGTATGTACGTTTGTTGACGCGTGTGGCCAAAGAAAAGGAATTTTCAACTGAATGAAAATTAAAGAGATACTTAAATGGGTTGGATGTCGAAAGGGGTTTTCATCGTCATCATTCGTCTTGTACAGTTAGAACGTGGGGATTTAGAATCGGAGACACATACTGTCCTACGATGGGTTAAGTTCCAAACAACCACGTGACCATTATCCATTTCCTGCATACAGATTTTCATCACCATGCACCTGTGCCTTTTTTTGTTTTTAGACTTTTGCATAGAGATATACGTGCTTGCACGGCCCCCGCCGCTATGAGTTTTTTCCCAGCTGCGAATCGTGCCATCGTATACATACGTTCTTCGCGCCGCCGCGATATGAATGCAAATTTCGCGGTGCAACGATATCAGTGAATGCATCCTCGTGCGACGTACTACATACTAATAATACTACGTGTACTATACTATACATATATTCCTTCGTGCACATGCTACAGAAGTTAAGGCAGCTTTCATGCGTGTTGTCAACAAAACGTGCGTGCGTAAACAAGAGAAAGAGAGAGATAAGGATGTAGCTGCCGCCGTTAAAGTCTAAACTAAACTTAAACGTTTCTACTCCGTCTCTACGACTTCAACGCTTGAGAAGCAGCCTTCCCCCCCGATAGCTCTGTGCTTCGACGAAACTACGTACGCGTTTTAGTTTATTCCGATACGGTATGTATCAGTAGATAGGAAGGCTTCTTGACGATCAACGTCCACGACACGTCCTTTGAAAATCGCGCGCGAGTTTTCATCGCAATAACGTTGCTCGTTTACTATGGCAACGAGATAGTGAATTCAACGGTTTGCGAGTCGATCGTCAACAGGTCTGCCAGGATCTCAAAGTTCGATAAAATCGATTGAATTTGCCTAGTTTGTGAAGCGTTCGATCGGAGCAATGTGAATTATTAATCGCGATGCGATCGCGTCCTTGTTTACGTCTTTTGGTTACGGATGATGCTTTCAGACATTGCTGTAATAGTATATTAGTCGATACGAAGAAGCCGTGAGCAGAAACAGAGTTTATAATGGGTGAAAAACAAAACAGTGCGAATCATGCATCCCGAAGGGCAGTGTTAGAGTTTGTGGTCGAACTTGTCTTTTTTGAATCGGACTAGAGAAGAGAAACGGTTAAAGAAAACGGCGAGAGTGAACCGAAACCAAGTGACACCGTAAGCACGTATAAGGGTACGACTACAGTGATTTACGTTGACGAAACGCGACTGCGTGGACGGAGGTAATGGTAATACCCCGTTCGAAAGAAGAAAGAGCTTGACAGAAGAGGAAAGCTTAATGTGTGTGCGTGTGTGCGTGTGCGCGCGCGCTTAATATTTACTCTGTCTTCAGCAAGCTGGTTCCGGCGGCGATGACAACGGTGACAGATAGGACCAGTCACCGGCTATTTTCCCATTCTCGTAGCCGTATACGTAGCATTATGTTAGCAATTTCTTTTCTTATTAGTCCTTTTTAACGGACATCACACGCAAAACTTCATTTTGCGCCTGGCTAGTAAATACTCTGGGCTGCTTGGGGAAGAAGCACAACGAATAAATCCCGAGATGATTTTCAAACATTTACATTCACGAGGGACGTGGGTGGTGGCGGTGGTCATCGCGGAAAAGTAGTTCGCGCTGTTGCTGTAGTAGGCTATAGACTTCCATCGCCATTTTTTTCAGGACTGCGGATGAAAATGCACGCGATGCAAATGCAAGTGTGTTAAAGCGAATCTGCTGCTGCTGCTGCTGCTGCTGCTGCTGTTGCTGCTGCTGCGTAGTTGTTAGTGGTAATATTAATCATACTTATAAATTCGTATTAAAAATGCAATGGTATTCGATTACACTTTGATGACGTACTCTTGTTTCGATTACGGCACGTCCGAGCCGCCTGACACCAGCTCACCCACGTGAAACTCACCCAAAATTAAATAAACGTGGGAACCACGTTTTTAAGCATCGTTAACAAGTTCACCGAAGAATTTTGTGTGGAACAATCCGTGCCTACCTAATCGTATTTCGTCGGCAATGAAAAGTTATTCGGTATTTCGAAACTGTATTCTCAAATTCACACACAAATTTCTTCGATTTCGCCCCAAGTATGTAATAGCCAGGTGATCTCGAGACACACCAAACTCGACTGAATCCTCACCTTTTTGTTTAACGACGATGAAACAAATTCGAAATTGATAATAATCATTGCCAAACAATTCCACGTAACGAAACATAAGAATGTTGCGGTAAAAACACTATTAGAAAAATTATGTACATTTTTAGACGCCTCGTCTCTCTCCCCCGCTCTTTCTATTCACGACTAGTACACCGAAGTAGTGGATACTGTGAAATTGTTTTATGGCGAGGTAAGAATCTGGTTTGACTCGAATGAAGCTTTACCTGCGTCCAAAATGATATCGCCAACGCTCCCGTTGCTATCGTCCAAGTAATCGTAGTCATCGTCGACTGCCGCCGCCGAATCCAAGATGCTGTCGTGCGGCGAAAATGCTTCCTCGGGATTCTCACCGAGAAGCCATTGGACATTACCTATTGTTCCTCTGTTCGCAGATCTGCACCCGAACCACCAGTAGGCCGTCGACCTGGGGAACGCTGGGTCGGCGATGTCCATCTGAAGAGACGACACGATTCGACTAAAGATATTGCACGTTTGTGTTCTTTCATCATCATCATCATAATCTCATATTCAGAAAGTGTGTTACGCGCGTAGTAATGTGACTCAAAATTCGATTACTACTTTCAACGGTCACACACTTTCGCGTGTTGGATTTTGATGGTACAAAGAAATTTGGATTCATTTCTTTCCTTCTTTCTTTCTGTTCGACGAAAACACTTACGGAGAACGTTCTGTCGTTGAATCGATAGTAAGCATCTCCTTTGAAGAAATACGTGTAACCGCGATAGACGATCGATGCGTCGAGATTGTTCGGAATGCCTTCCCAGTTCGAGGTCAACTTGGGATAAGTGTTTTTCACAGGTGGCTTCTGCGCAGGGTCGAACCTCCAGAATTTTGTACCTTTGTAGAAGTAGATTTTCCCGTTCCCGGTCCAAACGGTAGCGGTGTCGATGTTGTCTGGAATTCCCGTGAATCCTTCGCTGATTTCTTTCGGATAATCTCCGTCCATTCTCTTGCCCACGTATCTCCAATATTTCGAGCCCTGCATCGATCACCAGTTCGTGGATGATAATGTGGATGGGTAATCAGAGTTAGAAATTTGTTTTTTAGTCATTGCTTCTGGTGCTGAAGTTCGATCGACTGTGTATATACATATATGTATAAGTATTATGGGTCTCGCGTACCTTGAAGAAGTAAGTCTTTCCATTCTTGTACGTGAACGCAGCGTCTATGTTTCCTGGCAGTCCTTTCCATGAGTGCGAAATGAGCTTCGGATAGCCGACCGCGACACCATCCGCGGTCAAACGCCAGTAACGATCGCCTACACACAGTAGAGTAGTAGTTAATCGTCATCGACGATTAAACGAGAATGAGAAACATTCGTGGTAGGCATTGTAGTCTAGGCCGTAATATTGCGCGCGCGTACTTACCCTTGAATACGTATATATGACCCTCCGCGGAATTGAACATTGTGTCGATCTTCGGATCTGTGCAAAGTTCCGAGTCCTCTTCGCTCGGCGGTGACGTGGTCGTTGTTCCGTATCTTGGCCCGCCGCCGCTTGGAACACCACCACTACCACCATCGTTCTTAACTGATTTCTTTCCATACAGAGACTGGAACAAAATTGATGAGTACAAAACAAGTAATCACAATACATCCATCTGTCCGTGTCCGTCCGTCCGTCCGCCCGCCCGTTTATATCTTAAATTTTTTTTAAAAAATTCGATTACTGCTTACTAGAAATTTAAGATAATTGATACCTGAATACCCTGAATATCGTCATCGTCCAACTGAAAGTAGGGCTCGTATCCGCGGTAGAAAGGTGCCATTAGGGCAGACTTGACGTCGCTATGGCTCAAACCGAGGGAATGGCCAAACTCGTGAGCCGCTACTTGGAACAGGTTCGTGCCACGAAAACTGTCGATGGTCCATTGTTCCGCGTCGTCGAAATGGGCATCGCCGCCGTATACGGGGAAATAAGCGTGAGCCAAAGTGCCACCAGGTCCGTCGAAAGGATCTCCGTCTCCGTGTTCGCCTTTCTCGAATCTAATCTCGATATGGACCTACACAGAAAGAACGTTTACGATTCTGATCTATTTCGTTTTTTTTAGTGATCTCGTCTTACGATTACGAAACGAGGCCGGACAGAGTCTACTACAGAAAATTATTCCATCCTATGGGACGGGGTGGCGCTGGGTACGGTGGTAAAAGTTTTCTGGCACTGGTAGTGTACTCGCAGTTAATCGGGTGTGACCTTCACATTTTTTACAACTAGTACTGTAGCTTCTGCCTTATTAGTGCTACGTACAGACGTACGCGTTAAGCATTATGAGTAAGGACGCAGATGATCGCGTGAACAGAAGAGAAAAGAAAAAACAAACAATGATAAGACCGGTGGTGACAGAGTTCACTGTGTTAAAAAACTGCGCGCGTTTCGATCTGCGGATTTTGCTCCTCGAAGAGCAACGTCGCCATCGTCTTCGTTTCCTCTTTCTGCGTCTGCTTCTTCTTCTTCTTCGTCTCCTTCTATGCAATTATCGCGTGCGCGCGCGAGGAATCTGAGTAAATATTAGTTGCCTCACCTGGCCCGACTTCTTTTGAATGAAAGTGAGATCCGTGTATTCCGACCACACTTTGAACGCTTTGTTCAACTCGACGTCGACTTTGTGCTGCGGCAAATTTCGCGGATACTTGCTGATCTTGTACGTCAGTTTCTTCACGCGCCACCTCGAGCCTGTAAAAATATAAGACGATGTATCTCACGTCTCGGGTGACTTAAAAACGAATCTCTATCTCTGTTGGTCCGTCTGTACACGTCGGAATCGTCGGTTTGAAAACAGTGGCTAACGATACAGTATGGTGTTACTACACACAGTACACCAAAGATAATTTGAAGTACGATGAAAGCTCGAGGTTGGATATGCCATTATGTTAAAGATGTTTCAGCAGATTTGTCGCGCGACCTTCGTTCATTCTAATTTTTCCAAACAACTGCTGGCTGCATACCGCGCGACGTCTGTTTATGTAACGGAAATCGTTGCACGTGCCAATCATTGCACGACCGTCTAATTTGTCGTTCGCGTGTCTTATCATTGAACGTAAGCGCATATCCCGTGTCGAATGCTCGAATGCTTTAGCTTTAGGGATCGATTTTTTAAGCTGATGCACGTTCGTTTCCAATCGTCGTTCGTAGGATGTCAGATGTCACAGATTTCCTCAGAGAAGTGAGGAAATACCTACACCGGGTAATCCAAATCTATCATCGTCATTACACACGATACACAAGTACGCTGTGATTCATCTATTAATCATATATCTAGCAACGTGCTCCAAAGTTAAACACGCGGACATTGCCGCTGATCTGAATCTTTGCACTTACTCTGTCACATTTAATAGCAATTTCTTGGAAAGCTCGTCGTTGGCCTGCACATTCCTTACTTCTTTGTAATTCGTGCACTATTTTTTTTCGCGCGTATAAATTCAGGATGCATTTCGCGATTGTTTCGAGATGAAAGAATTTCGTGCAGTATTAGATTAAAAATGGAATTGAATTATAAACAAGAAACTGATAATTATCGAACAGATCGTCTTGTCATCGCCTCGTGCAGTTGCTCCGAGTTGTCTCCGACAAACGGCAAGGTTTCGCGCGGACCAAGGTCGCGATCATCGTCTCCGTTATTAAACGACGGTAGACACCGCATCGAGGTCTACCGCGCATCCTCTTTCGCATTCTACCCGCTCATCGAATCGGCGGCACTGGATAAACATCATAAAAATCGCGTATTTCTGAATGAACAACCTGCGCAGCTTGAAACGGGTTTGCAGATCAGATACGTTCTCGGATTCGTTCCATTTTGATCGCGATCGCTAGCTAGTATTGGGTCACACAGTCAGGATGGCTGTTACGCGATGGAGTTCCGCGATAGGATATACGCATCGGTGATCTGGTCGCCCTGGTGGTAAGTTGACTCGAACAACGCAGGGAACGCGAACGCGAGGTTCAAAGTCACGGTTACATTTTTCCCGCGCGCGCGCGCGCGCGCGCACACGCACGCATAGATTTCGCGGCGGCAGCGGCAGGGAATGACTGCGGAATTATGAAATGAAAACGTGACGCGATTAATATTCTGAGAAAAATGGACGGTGCGGTGGAGGGGGAGGGGTCACCGCCCTCGTAGAAACAGAGATATCGTTTTGGTTAAGATACGTCACGGATACGATACAGGACCGTCACGGTTCACGGTATTATTGCAAGGTTCGCGTAAATTCTGCAATCAGAGACAATTAACGTGACGCGTGGTCAAAGGGCGATTACGAGCAATGACTAGCTAGCTGCACTAGGTGTTCGTCAAGAGAAATTGTACTAATCGCTTTTGTTCGATCGTATCGTGTAACAAGAAAAAAAAGCGAAGCAAATCCAATTCCATTGTTTACATCTTGTGAATTCGTTTCGTCAACAGCAAATGAGAAGGAAATAGAATAATAATGAATCTGAAAAAAATTAATTAAACATCGTATCTCCTCCATTCGTCATCGTCATCGTCGTCGTCGTCGATCGTTTGGAAATGCATTGTTCGAACAGCGATCCGATGTTTAAAAAATACAGTGCGCTCGGAGCATCCGACAAACGATAAATAATTGCGGTACAAGCAAGCATGACCTGTTTAGGGTGACTGACTTTACATTGTCTATAACGTGAGGCAGGAAGTCAAAAGTAGTAACACCGGATTGCTACTAAGCATTGGACTGGCATCGTGGCAAAAAATTTCATTGCCTCAATAATTATTCAAACTTTCGAAGAAGATTATAATAGGATCTTCTTATTCACTTCAGTCAAATGCTAATTGATTTTACCGATCGATCTGCTTCGAGAACTGATCCAAATTGTTCGGTCGATCGGGTAAATTGTCGAACTAGTGCGGATAGCGACATTATCGTCGTCGATAATACGAGAAATATTGGTCGCGCGAGTGATAAGTATTTCGATAGAATCAGATGAGTGACAACGATTAGTTCGATTCTCGTTTCTGTCGCGCGCGCGGCATCAATTGCAGTTACATAAAGTACAGAAGTTGGTCGAACATCGTTACGTCATAGACGTCGAATGGTATTGTATTGCAAAATTCAGTGCAATCTTATGTGATTGCTACAGTAATTCGAAAGAGTATACGTTATTTTTAATGGAACCTACCTTGAAGAGCGTAACGCTTCGACCTGCCAAAGCCAGGGCCCACTTTGTCTTTGACACCGCACCTTGGCAATGCCATTAGCTTGAACGTTTCTTCGTCAAAGTCACCTGAAGACAAAAGAAAAGAGACAAGGAGTAATGATCGATCTTGAAATTCATCTTATTAGATGATATCTCCCTGAAATCAATAATATTCCGCTTCTCGCTTCTCCGCCACTTAATTACATCGTTTTCCGCCTCGTTTCGATAACCCCTTCTCGTTTCTGGTTCTAGTAGTTTATTAGACCAGAATAATTCGTCGTGCTTCTGTTCGAAGAAACCGACGACGACGCTACTCTACTCAAACAATCCAGTCTCCATTATTCGACCTCCGTCCAAAACCATCAAGGCTGTCTGAAATGTAGGTTTCAGGTTCAGATCGCAGGCAGATGGCAAATATCGATCCCCATGCATGTTGCACGCTTGCTGTTTCCTATTTACGATCGTCTCATCCGCCGCTTGTGCACGTATACGTTTGTTCGTATCGTGCATATGCATCGAGTGTGCATAATATGCGGAGCATGCGAAATCGTTGGGCTACTCGCGCCCACACACACACAATCCATAATCGGCGTCGAGACAAGTCGATTAATCGTCGAAGACAAAAGACGTCGTGGTCAATCTTATTCATCGTCGCGTTTCGGTCGCTGTTTCATGGAGCATGTGTTTCATCTGTTTCGGCTCGGTTCGGGTGGTGAAAAGAGCTTGGTCTCGGTGGTCGAGCAAGTGTGCGATTAGCTTTAGTGCCGTGCCGTGTCACGTGCAAACGAGCCTCTGCTACCCGCGCACCGCCGCCGTACCGTGTTTCAGCTGATCACGCGACTGGAACTTGTTCTAACCGCGTTTATTAATACTCCTGTGGAAATCGTGTGCTATTTTAACGGAACGATCATCCGGATCGATTTGAATACACTACGGAGATTCAACGCATTCCGCACTACATACATACATATATACATACATACATACGTACATCCTTCGGAAGAGCAAAATTTTGTTGCAGAAAGTGTATTATTTAGCCATTAAAATCAACTGGAAATGTAAACGATCGGCTTTACAACCGGTTCGACTTACTTAAACCGAATAAAATGTACCTGCAAGTTTTCTCTTTTCTTCTTAGTTTAAATCGATTTCACGCGAATTTTCTTCCGTTGAATAATTTCGTTGTTGCAGCATCTGTCCGCAACCCGCCTCTTCACCTTTTTTCGTATCTCCGTGTTACGTATCCACGTCTCAATTTACTGCGACCGCCAATATTCAGTTACAGTTTAATTTGTTCGTGATTAATTTATTCGACGGCTTTGTCCCTTACGTATAGACATTTCTTTTTTGTTTTTGTTGCTCCTGTTGCTCCGTGCAACGTTTCTTTTTGTGTGAATCTGAAGCCGGAGCAACAGAACAAAAGTGAAATCCTCTCTCCGTGGAATGCGACGTGACTTTTACCTCGATTTCGTAACTTATCCAATGAATTCGGTAATTTTTATCCGTTCTGGTTAAAGATTCCATTATCTAACACGGTTCTCCGTTAGGCAACTTCTCCGTTAGAAAACTTGTTTGTTACAAGAGAAGAGAAGACTGAAAAATTTCTTCGATCGTAACGCGCAACGCGTTTAAACAGATTCGATGTCGCACTGTACTTAAGAATGATCTCGCGATTCTAATTTTATCCGCGCGCGATTACTGCTAATTGATTTCGAATCGTGAACGTGTGTACGTGTGCGTGTGTACAATCGAAAGACGTCGCATGACGAAGTTGTAGTGGTAGTCACTATCATATGAGTCACGCTGTTTCAACGCCATTGATGAATCTGCCGCATTTCACCGAACTCTGACTCACCCGCGGCATCGTCATCGTCATCATCGTAAATCGGGGGAGGGGGCGGTAGCGAGTTACCGTCTCTCGTTATTTTTCAATATGAAACGTTTCCGGTGTTATGTCCTCCAATTTACCTTGGAAATCAAATTGTCCGAACTACGCGGAACACGCTCGCAACATTTAACGCTCGATCTCGATTGTCAGTTCTATCGTCGCCACGAATCGACTGTCGGCTGCTCTATCAGCCGTTTTCCGACGATAACGCGTACCTCATCGGTACAATTTTCTCACGTTCACTTACGCGTCAGACTCGCGACTTTTCACCGAAACGGAAGTAATAACTCGGTTTCCTTGTGCATCGCGCATTCTTTGCTTTTTCCGTTTCGTGAAGGCTCGAACCTTCACCTTCTAATTCGTTCAGATTCGTTTGTGGACATGACGTTACGTGGATCCCTCTCTTTCTCTCTCATCGCCGAGAAGCACGACGTTCTCGATCGTCTCTACTTTCTCTTCATTTTTCATTCATATTTATCCGCGGAATCGCGCGAGTGCTTACGATACGACGACGGCCGGTCGGGACCGAACCGGGTCCGGTTTCTCAAGGTTTATAAATGCTAAAAATCCGCTCTTCACTTGGAGCCGGTCGAACGACCGCGTACGGGGCCGTTGTACCTTTTTGTACTTACGTTGTTGCTGCTAAAAGAGAACGGATCGAGACGCGATTCGTAGAAATGCACACCACGATTGTTGCCCCCGGGACGTTTTGCTTTAAAAATTCCTTTTCGCTCTCTTTGTTTTACAGTCTCTCCCTGTGTGTAATGTAAATGTCTCCGCGGTACGCAAATACACGTATCACGAGTTACAATACCTAGCGTACGTAGACTAATTTACGACGTTCTAACGAAATGTTATATTTGGACCTGTACGAGTGTTACGACATGGCCGTAAGCCTATTCTTTGGTTTCGTGAATCGGACGGAAGACGGGAAAACGCGCGGCAAAGTCGAAAGCGAACGGATCTATCGGGGCATGGTATGAATCATGCACCCACGACAACTATTAAACTCAATTACGGTCAACGAATGTAAAGTACGGCCGAGCGATCGCAAGGACGTAAATAAAAGTTGATTGATGATGGAGGCACCGAGCGAGTTTCGCGAGCCTCGTTTAACCTTCCGGTGTCTCATTCTCGTCGCTGGTCGCGATCTCTGATTAATTATCTCGCTAAATTATCGTTTTTTCGTTAACGTTCTGTTATGGTTTTACCACCGTTTCTGATCTCGTATATAGCGGACACTACTTACCAGTTATGTTTAATCCGGCAAACGCTTGAAATTCTGCAACGGCTTTGGACAGCGCGTCTTGAGATATGATACCACCACTCGTCGGATTCATTGGTTGTAAGTAGCCGAATTGAGACAAGTAATTCTGTGAAACAGACAACCAGACAAATTATGGTTAATTTTCGATGGCCAATATTCTCATTGACGACCACAGTCGACCGAGAATAGAAACAGTAAGAGACAGCGTTACGTTGAATTCGGATGCGAATCGAATTCTATCAACCACCGCATCGTCGTCGTCGCCGCCGCCGCAATAGTAGTGGTCTCTTCGCAATGTTAGACTTGTTCATCGTACTGAAACGTGCTGGTTTTGTACAATTGTATACTTAATTCCAATTCCAGTGAAACCGGTTAGATTTTGCACGTTGACGAGCTGTGTGAATAAGACAGATGATGTCCGAGTGGATTGATACGCGTGTGCGCGATGATCGTAAGTATCCCGCCCGATATGATACAGTTATTTAACCGCGGCCGCGCGATTACAGGCCGAATTTATTATTAATAACGGCGAATAAAACGCGATACGTACTTGCTTCCGTTTTCCTTCTTCGTTTCGAGCTGAATCACAGAAAATTTTCAACGAAACAGAGGAACATGTTGTGCAAGATTTGTTATTTGACAAGTCTCTTACGACGATCTTGCTGCTTATTTTTTCTCGCAACAAACGAGTCGTTGACGAGAGCACGTCGAGAGATAAAATTAGTTTACACGTTGCCACTTGACGAGAATGTAGAGCACTTTTTTATTAGAACTTGGGCGCATCGATTTCGAAGTTTATGTACTCGCTCATGTATCTACGCGTGCATGAATTACCTTAGTTTTATCTACATCGTGTGTAGTTAGTTGCAAACGTTTCCGTAAGGGATGAAATTTAATGGTTACGATCAGCGAAATCGTACCAAGTATCATAACGTCCCCCGGTCTAACGACCCGTCACTAAATCGTGAAACAAGCTTTAAAACGTGATCGTAACCTCGTCGCCGTGAGCACAAAGTTATGCCGTGATTCACGATTCGCGCGCAGATAAAAGCGATAGGTACTCGGATTTGGATAATAATCGATCCACGATTTAGTTGCATTCTCGCTTCGTGGAGGATTTCGCGTTCCGCAGAGGATCGAGCCTTGAATGAATGACGCTGATTCATCGTACAACGCAAAATAAAGCCCGCCGCGCTATTTTTTCCGGTACGAGAGCCTCGTTATTAGTGCCTAGTTTAGGTAGAGTTTAGGTTAGGTTTAGTTAGAACGACCGTATTTTTCGATCGTAATTAAGGAGACTCGCGACCATGGTAAATTCTTCCACATCCTCGGTTCCATCGTCGAGTGTTAATTCCGATCGTCAGTCCTCTCGTCGAGCTTCCGCGTCTTGCAGCAATTCTCCCAACGTCCCGTGTTACCCACCACCGCGCAATTTCCGGGTATTAACCGGGTACAGAATTTTCTGAATGAAGGCAACCGGAGCGCGCGTACTCGCGCGTGCGTCACGCGTGAATAGTGAATAGTGAATAGTGAATGGGCCACTCCCTCTCAACGCCCGCGTACGGACTCGGACGCGTAGTCAGGGAACTACGCTTCCGAATCATTCGCGTCACCTTATTCATTTATTTATATTTCTCTTAAATTTTGATCGTCACTCGAAGTCGAGTGAAATCCGTTCCGAAAAAAATGCAGGAATATATGTGACGTGACGAACGACGACGAGTCTTACCGTCGCGTGGAGATGAGATAAGCGCGTGATCTAGTTAATGTTCCTACCGGTACTAACGTGTTTAGATTCAGTTGGAATCTGATCTATTTTCCGATTTCCGAATGCTTACTACTACGGTGAAACAGCGAACTAGTGAATCAGCCTCGTCAGTAACAGAGTATTAGTTGGATTCGTCAAATAAATTAGCACGTTCTTCTGGTCGTTCGACTTGAGAAATTCTTCGTTACCACCACCACTCTCATAGCGCTTAGCTGTGTTTCCCTTTGTCTTATGACGAACGAATTCTTCGAGGCAACGTGACCAATCGTGGGTGTGTTTAATCGCTAACAGCCTCTGACTCGCTCAAATCATCACGATTCTTCGACGGTCGACTTGGATTTTACGTACGAGACGACGTTGAAAAAGAAAACATTGTATTTGTTTCAGAGACATACGGATGAACATGGCGACTATTATTATGCGTTACGATCGACTGTGTTCTCCGTAGCGTATTTGTATTGTCGCTTGAAATTAATCGCTTGTGTAATTAAAAGTGGCTGTCAGAACTTATCTTTGGCATCTCCAACGACGACAGACGTCGAATTAAGTCTTAGAAAGATGGTAGATTAACGAATGAACAAAAAACACCGTCGTCGTCGTCGTCGTCGTCGTCGTCGTCTCTGTCTTGTACGATAATTACGTGTCACGTGCGAGCGTGTGTACACGTGATGGAAAATCGAAGAAAGAAGGACGTGGTTGCGCGACGCGCGATCTTCACGGTCAGAGTAATCATTTGAAAAATATCTTTGTATTTTAGTCAGATCAGTTTGCTCTGTACTTCAATATCATTTGTCTTTTGACAATTCGCGAGAGCTGTGAGCGTCGTAATCGCTACTAGAACGTTCTCTCGCTGATACGTAATCCTTGTAATTTAACGAATCGATAATCGTCGCCGTTGACGCGATTATCATCTGCAGCCAGTTGTTCGGCGAAACACGAGACGTTTTACGATACGCTGCTACTAGGAGGTACCTTGAGAAACGTGCAAGGCACGCGACGCTTACACGTTTCAAGCGCTAGGCCAGCACGATGTTGTTAATTGTCGATGCTCGGGACAATTCTTTCGTCCGAGAAATCGATTTTCGAATCATTCTCATGGTTCTCGTCTCAGCTTCAGCGAATTATTTGAGATCATGCGTTCAGACGTATCGCGCGTCTCCGTAACACCGGTTCATATTCGGCCGTCGTTAAAATATATCGTCGTTATAATATAGTTTTTTAATCGAATCGGGCGACACGACGCGGTTGTGTAAAGCTGGATCGATAAGAAGTCGTGACCGTATCGCGTTCACCTGTTGAAAAGTTGACACTTTGATCGGTCGAGTTCGGTCGACGGCGGCGGCGGCGTCTGACGCATGTCCCATTTCCCCATGACCCGATTTCGAACTAACACGGATTTCGTGTTTCCAAACTGTGGACACGACGACGAAGCCGTCGCCGCCGCCGCCGCCGCCGCCGCCGCCGCGTAATGATCACTGTTTTCTGTTTCGTAACTATTTCCTATCTCTCTGTTCCGCCATCTGTCTCTCTGCCATTTAACAGGATCGTTGTGTACGTGCGTCTACGTAACACGGACTCGGGACGGGGCGAAGGGGCTACGGCGACAAGTACGTACGCGGCTGTGGATGCGGTGGCGGCGGTGGTGGTGGTTCCAAACTCGGTTTGAATCGATCTCCGTGTCCGACACGCGTTCACGAAATTTGTTGCAGGATAGGGCGGATAGATCGATTTCTGAACGGAATTCCTGCGTAGGTTACGGTTGATAAATTTAATGGTGGTTCCTGTTGGCAGTTGGTTTGGGTGAACTGCTAGGTAACTGGGTCGACCGATGCATCAACCAGCGACCTTTCGGATTAAGAGATAGACGCGAGACACCGCTGCCGCCACCACCACCACCACCACCACCGAAAGGCCAAACGTGGAAATGCAAATTGCCGCTTCTTAATCATGAAAAAGCGTGACTTTTAAGCATCGCTCGGTCGAAATCACGAAACTGAACTATGTTCCTCACAATGACGGGTAGACCTTGCCCAGGCCTGATGACTACTATTACGTTTGCACACCGTGCACATTTATAAGATCATTCAGTTTAATCTTCCGATCGAGACCGTAAAATGACTCAGTAAGATAAGATTAAAACCGATTTCCAATTGCAATGCCATGCCTCGTTGTCTTTTTTTTTTATTCATTATTTTCAATTCGCCTGTTTTCGTTTAGAATGTAAAATCTCAAATCAAATTACACGGTTGCATATTTTTATGGGGTATCTTACGAAACGACTGTATCGACGATGTGCGCAGTCTGTCTTTGTTAGTAGTGGTTCCCATTGTTCTTCGTCAACAGTTTGTTTGATTCGTTGTCTTCCTCTTCTTCCGGGATAGATCTTCGAAATTCTAATATCAAGTACAAGAAGATCCGTCGAGCGCGATCTGAACCCCACTGCTGCTCGCACAATTTTGTTTCGCGTGGCGCAATCTCCATAATCGAGGGAATACGGAGCAGTGAAATTGTCTCCTCTTGATACGGCCACGTTTGTCTAACCGTGCGGAACGTTATCTCTATCTGTTATCGCTGATAAGAAGCACAAGTTTGAAAGAATTGTATCAGTCGAACGAAGCGTAAAGCCCGGGTTTAACGAACCCCTTCGTTTATTGGCCATTTCATATGACCAACTGTATTGTATATTGCTATGACATCCAGCTGATTCCACGTCCCACGTCAGAGAGTCGTGATCATTTCGTTCTAATTGAGTTAAGTCACGGCTGTAGCAAATGGACGATACGTGAGGCTACGATTGTTCCTCGTCCCCGGCACGATTTCGTGCGAGCGTGAAGCGTGACTCACGGCTTTAAGGGCCGCCGCCGCCGCCGCCGCCGCCGCCGTCGTCGTCGCCGCGCCGGATGCATAAGGTATGATGCACGGTTTTATGAAATCTCGCGCCACCGTTGTTCTAGTATAGTCGCGACGGTTTATCTTGAACTCGCTGAGATTTATTACACGTTTAGTAGACGTGGAACGCGTTTGGATCCGCTCTGTGTTTCGTGCTGCGTGGTCAAAATCAGTTGGTCATGCATCTGCTGCATTGTTCGATGAGCGAGTAACGAGAGAAAGGTTTCTTTCGATTTCGGTACGCTGCGCGATCGATAATCTGAAAATTCAAGTGCTCGGGGACCGGTTATTATCCAGTATTTAGAAAACTGTGTCGCTCAGTATCGATTATGCGAGGAAGTCGCGACTAAACAAATGTTACGTTTAAGTTGTTGCAGTCGAAGAACATTTTCAACCATCCTTTTCCTCGCTTACCTCCATCTTGCACAAATATCGTCGATTTCCGTTTTCTATTATTATAGTGATTATCGAGAAGAACGAGGTAAATGAATGGGCATGTCCTTGCGGACGACGTCATCTTCTCCTGGAGTCCTTCCTCGAGAATAACATCGCTTAACGGTGCAACAACGATGGTGCACGATGGTGCACGATGGTGCATGATAGATCTGTTACTCGAGAACGGCGGACGAGGAGGTGTGTGCACACAAGAGTAGTATCGAGTAGCGACCCCGACCTTGAAGAGGTCTTTGTCGACGCAAACTGCATCAGTATTCAACGCCTTCGCATCTCCTGCCGGTCGTTCGTTCGTTCGTTCGTTCGTTCGTTCGTTCGTTCGTTCGTACGTTGAATACGAAACCACCCAGATCCTCCGATCGTCTACGAGCTTTGTATCACCGAACAATATATTTTCGCGTTACTACTCTCGCGATTACCTTTGTACCAAATGTTCTTCCTTCTTTGACACTCGACGCGATCATAGCGCAGTCTTGTTCAACACTCTCATCGTCGTCAGAATTAAACGCGTCACGACTAAACACAGCACAGATAAAGATAGTCCATCTCTTAACAATGACCAAGGAATACTTTTGCTTTAAGCTCTATGCAACAGACAAACGTGTCTTTGGAAGAAACTATACTATGGGGTTTCGATTAATTATTATTATTATTATTATTATCATCGAAGGTGGCGCATATTCAGCAGGTGCTTGACCCTAACTGACCTTACTCGACCTAGTCGTGCGACGGAGTCAGATAAGAGGCCAATTTAAAATCTTGCGTGCACCTGTTCATGGAATACCGTCGAGATAACCGCAGATTTCCGAATAACCCCGCGGGAACGCCGCGTTCGTTTTCTTAATTCGTTAGCTGTCGCGGAATTAAAATGTATCGCGTAGCGGTTTCCTGTAGCAGTTAATCACCGTGATTTCACGAGGACGTTTCGATCGACTTTTCTTATTAGGATTCAGTGTCGTCGTCGCAATAAAAATGCGCGTAATCTGTCTCCGAATTTAGAGCCGGTCCCCGCCGTCCGGTTGTAGGCAGGAGGAACAGTCTTCGCTGTTCCTTCTATCTTTATTACTACATTCCACGTCTCCACGTTTGGCTGCCCCGAATTTTAATCACTCTCTCTCCAGTACCAGAGAGCATGTTATCAATTATTATTATTGAACGATACAGTTACTAAGGAACGAGATGAGAGACGACACTATGATGTTACGTTTCAGTTTTATGCAACAATTGAATCTGTACTATTAACGATCGGTCATTGTGAAACAGTGTGAACAACGCGATCACCAATACAGAAGCCAATACGGAAAAGCATATCTCGTCTCTCTTCTTCTCCTCTTGTACATTGTCAGCCTACTACTATACGACCTCGTACGAAATGAGTCGCGATTCGCGGTCGTCGCCAACAAGATTTCTCGTTTGACTCGCGAATGCAAATATCGGTTATCAAGAAAGTATACCGATGACTGATATGATGACATCATTCGAGATAGAGCGCAGAATGTTACATGATGATAATGATGATGATATCGAGATGATTATGTGTTTTCGATTCGACTCTTACTAATGGAGAACGCGTTTACGGAATCGTTTCCTTTGTTCTACGTTGGAATTAAACGGGCTACTTGCGCGATTCACCTTTCTGGAGTCTCGAGGCGACGTGAGGAAGCAGACAGTGTGATCATTTAAATAATAATGGGATCTTCTAATGGGTAGTCGTTAGTGCCGTTCGGTCTGTGCGTGATGCGAAATACGGATTCGTTATGTAAATCACGGGGAAATCTCTGTTCGACAGGATTGTTCGATAGGATAATTAAATAATCCTTGTCGGGGAGATGAATAACATCGTGTTTAATACGGTTGTTCGATTGCTAATCAACATCTTTGTTCCTGAGGGATCGACTTGAGTCGCATTGCGAAAGCAATTACGAATCGTACGTTCTTAACAATAACTATATTTTCGCTCACGTTTTATCAAGCGACACGCGATTACACGATTCCTCATTGTCGCGAAATAACGAAAAAGACGCGCGACCGCAACTGTCGCGTTGCGTTTCTCGCCTTCGAATCACGCCTTCGTTCTACCGGATGGCCCTAACCGGAGCAATTTCATACGATCGCCCACGATCTACGAGAAATTGGAACGGACGAATCGATACGTTCTAGAGAGATGCGTATCGCCAAGTACGAGATTTTCCACCGTCTTGCTCCTCGTGACACGTTTCTCGCTTCTCCCGAGAGCAGCGATACGCGATAT